TTAGCAAAAAATATTTGTTTGGAACAGTTTTTGGCTCATACTGAGCTTTCAATTTGGTCCACAATTTTTCAGTAGTTTTAGTTTCACACCTGATCATATTGTCCGAAAGGTACAAGAAAATAGTACTCCGTGCTATTTATTCTAACTTAGCTCTTTTAGCAACAGACATTTCAGCAGGCCATGAATTATCTAGGGCTTTAGCACATTTCGTTTGCATTAAGATAGCTCTCATTTTCTGGCTTCACGTATTAAAGTCCCCCCTACCATTAAACATGCTCAATTCAAACTTAGTGGTAGCCATGACAAGATTCACAAGAAAGTTCACAGTGCACAAGTTTGATATCAAGAACACACAATAAAAATACTGCAGGCAAACTAGGGGATCAGGGGCCAATGACCAATGCTCTTATATAATTTTCACAAACAGTAAACACTTAACACTAAGTATAAGAGGCAGAATCACAAAGAACAGAGATATCAATTCCTATAGACTCTACTATAAAAACTAATTACAGAATGCAGGAAAGATCTCACCAAACGAGTTTGATAAAACTCAATTTCCACCAGCCAATGTTTACTGCAGTTTGAAGGCAAGTTTCAGAATTCAGTCAATTCACAGGAATCAGAGACGCTCCAGTAGTCCAAGATTGCTCTGATACCACTGAAAAGTCGGGGAGCGCCCAAGAATTAATCAAGATTTAAACCAAACACAACAAACAGTAAAATAAAGTGCAGAAAATTGTAAAATGAACACAAGATTTTTTCGGCTGAAGCTCCAGAGGTTCGGCGACCACTTCTAACACCTATTCCCCTGTTGAGCATCCATTAAAATGGATAAAACTCGATTGCACTATAAAGCCCCAAAAATCAGGTAGTAAAATACAAGAATGTTTCAGCAGTACAACAGAAATAAAGTCACCAAGACTTATCTTAAGAGAAATCACAAGGCATAACAACATCCACTAAGGAATCATTCCAAGATCACACAGATCTTCCAAGACCCGCCACTGCTCACTTGCAAATCTCACAGATTCTTGTAAAGATAACACCGAGCAGTCCACAACTATATGGGTCTATCACATTACAAAAGATTTCTCAACAATCATTCACTAGAATAATGGTTTTCATGCAGGGAAGAAAGAGAGACCAGATAAGGGCTTCCAAGATGAAGAATAATGTCTCTCAAATTTGAAAATAATTCCCAGCAGCAAGAATAGATTCTATTCACAACATCACATATGCATTTAATCACTAAAATCACTCAAGTATTAGAACCCTAAATCACCAAGAAGTTAGGAATTCTTGTAGAGAGAGAAAAGGGCGAGTCAGACTCAACAACAAGAATAATTTCTGAATTTTTTCTCCTCTCAAAATCTGCCGGTCAATGGAGCACTCCAGATTTATATATTGCAAGTCACTAGCACAAGATTGGACATCCACAATTGTCCCACTTGTCAAGATCTTGTTGATTGCCTCAACTAATAGAGTTGCTATTTGTAAAACACGTTTTCTTCAATTTTGGAAGCACATCTTTTACTGCCACAAGTTTAATTCTCAACAACTTCGTATGACTATGAGAGAAGAAAGTAGAAAATAATATGTGGATAAAGGATAATGTGTAGAAGAACTCAGAAAGATATTAAGTGACTACATGATAATGTGGTATGTTTGTGATGAGAGAAGAAAGTAGAAGAATAAGAACTCCTCTAGAAGTCGTTAGACAGAATGCAATTGAATAAGCAGGGGAAAGAGAGAATGCAATTATCTTAATTGACTTTCATTTTAATGTATATTCGATTAGATTGAAGGATTTTGATACTATTTAATTAAATATCAATAAACGATCTTACTATTACGGACGTAATCCTAGATCTGCCACTAATCCCACGCTGCCACAACCACCACCCTCCACTCCCTCGTCCATGCCACTACCACAGTAATTAACTTTTGCCGATTTTCTTCATCGTCAAACTTCAAAATCACAACCCGATCAAACTTAAGCTTGAAGACCCAAAATTGTATAATTCGATTTCAGAGCACAATTAGAAGCAACAAAGATGAAGAAAACCACGATACCTCAATGGTGGAATTAGGTTCTACCGTTCTCATTTCACGCTATTGGTTTTATAATTTTATTTCCAAATTTTTGTCAAGTGAAGTTATTATTTATTTGTACTTTATTCTTGTAGCAAGAAAAAATTGTATGATTCATTAACTTTAAAATGTACATATTTTTTGATAATATATTACTATAAAATCATCCTATTTTGTTATTTAATAAAATTCATTGAATAAAATGTCATATAATAATTTTTTAAAATCTCAAATTAAATGTGTTTTTCTATTTTCTATTTTGAGAAACAGTTTTTAAGAATGACCAATCAAATATGTAATTTAAAACTGAAAACTAAAATTCAAATCAAATGAGGCCATAATTTTTCTTTTTTCTCGATTTGTAAGAATTTATTAAGGGTTTGTTTGAGTCTCATTATTTAGAAAAATAGATTTTGTAGTAGACTTTTTTTGAAGAATTTATTGTTAAGAAGTATAAAAAGTTGAGAGTTTATGTGTAAATTTATTTTATTGAGAGAACGTGTGATTGAAGATAAGTTTAGGGGGAAATGGGTTTTAAATAAATGTCAATATTACATTTTTAAAGTAACTTTTAAAATTTTTAAAAAATGATCTCAGTTTTGATTTTTTAAATTATCTTTTTCCATTACGCTATATTTATGAATGCAACAACAACAATATGGACTTGACGTAATTCATTGATTCTCGTACAAGCAATCACTTGACCTAAATCCAAAAGAGTGGTTTGTCAACGCAAAAATTGAGTTCATTAGAATTTCTAAGGTAGTGGTACCTTGATAGTTATCGTAGAGGCGTGGGCTAGGGCTTGTCGAGCCTTGCCCCTACAACTAGTAGCTATGCTAGTTAAGAAGTAGTTTGACAGGTCAAACCACCTATCTACTCCATGCCTTTCAATTTGTTTATATGTTATCTTTCTTGCCTTGGATCCTATGTTCTTTAGATATCCAACTTATTTACCAATTGCCCGACTACAAACGATAGATGTTTGAACTTTGAAAACCAAATATAAAGGGAGGAAGATAGCTACAAAAGTGAAGTTGCCTAAAAAAGTGCCTTTTCTTATTAAAGGAAATTACTTAACATGCAGTCGATTAGCTAAAACTTTCTTTTAGTACGATACCCTTGTGAAGTAGATTTGCTTCCATCCTATACTTTGTTTTGAACGGATCTCTACCACACATCATTCTCAATTACTCTATTTTGACAACATTTTATGCATGCCTAGCCATCAAAAGACGCAACTAATGTAGGCCTAACTATCAAAATGAACAATTTTTTTTTCAATTTTAAAAATAAAAGAAATAATTCTTAATAATATTAAAAAATTAAAACTTCATTAAATTAAGGCACAAATAGTGCTATCATTGAGATAAAAAGATTATTAGTAGATTAAAAATCATACGGAATAAGATAAATGGAAATATAATTCTTACTAATTCAAACTATGTGAAGTTTAGTTTTTCTTTGACTCATAATATTATTCATAATCTTGTTACTACAATGAGTAATATTGACACATAACATTATGCCTTCGTTTGGCCTCCATTAAATTTTATCTCATTACATTTCATTTTTCTCTCTTATTTTCAATCACACAATCTTTCATAAAATAATATTACACGTAAATCGAAAATCTTTCCTTTATTTTCAACCACTAATTTTAAAAAAAAATACTATTCCTCCCATTTTCATTTTCAGTAAATGGGGGGCCAAACGGGGGCTATAAATATTATTGTATTTAACAACTTAGTTATCGTACATTTCAATTATAAAAATTCACTATTTTATTTTAATTTTTATTCAAATTATAAACAAAAGCTAAAAACACAATCCACTTTTACAATCAGAAACAATGTTAGATATGGATTAAACTTAAACGATGATAGACTACTCAAGACCTGATAACTCGACTCTCCTTTATTGCCGTCAAAATCTCTTTAACTTATCAGCTCATTTGCATTAAGCAAAACATCATTCTTGTAACCTATCACGTCAGAAGTTTGGATTTTTTTTTTTTTTTTTCCTTTGGTGCCTAAGGAAAAGAAATTACAAGCAAATAAAGTGTAATATTTTATCCATATTTCCTATTTACTTCTGTTCTGCATTTGGATCAAAGATAGTGTTTAGTCCCTGTTTGATCCCCATTTTTGGGTAATGAAAATGAGAGGAATAGTTTTTTTTTTTTTTTTTTAAATGAGAGGTTGAAAAAGAAGGAAAAATTTTCGATTCACGTGTAATATTATTTTATAGAAAATTGTGTAGTTAAAAAAAGGAGAGAGAAAAATGAAATGTATTGGGGCGATTAAAAAATTGACAAATGCATACAGATGTAATGTCTTTATATGTATATTATTTTTTAATTTTAGAAAAGAAAGTGATGCTTGTCTTCAAGCCTTGGCAACCTAATTTTACTTTACCCAACTCCAATTTAATACTAATATTTTTATTATTTTTAAATCGGTCGGACTCCAACCATTTTATTAACCAAAATACATAACCATTTTATTAACTAAAATACATAATTTCCTTGATTTCAAACAATTAAATGATTAATTGGACTAATATTTAATAATTTCTTCCCCGTTTTTAACATTTTTAAAATCGGTATTAGGACAATCTCGGGAAAGTCTGGAACCTTAAATTAAACTTTAAAGCCCCAGGAAAAAAAAAAAAATAACAATGAATCTTTTTCTTCTAAATCTCACTGTTTTCTCCGAAAGTTTAATTATTTTTTCAAAAAAAAAAATCAAATTTATTTGACTAAAATTCCATTTGTTTTTTCCTTGCTCTGAATTTCATGAACATTTTCCAAGACTTGAAAGGGCTTGTAAGTGTTAAAATTTTGATCTTTTTTGGATTCTTCATCTAGGTTTTGGGTTTTTGGTATTTTAAACTTTTTTTTCTTGTTTTTTGCGAAAGTTTTTTTTTTGATTTATTAAAAAATCTTGAAAATTTTCTTGGGCTTTGTTTTCAAGAAAATAATGGATTTTTGAAGGTAAGTTTGACTGTAAGTTTTTCGTTTCTTGGAATTTATATGGAACGTAAGGAAAGTACTATGAGTAGCAGTGGAGTAACAGTGGTGGGATCAGATGCTCCCTCGGACTACCATGTGGCTCCAAGGACCACAGAGAATCCAAGCCAGTTGAGTGGATCGGAACCACTGCCACCTGTGATTGTGACGCCACCACAGGTGGGTTTCACACCGTCGACAGCAGTGGCTGCCGGGGTGGATGGCACCACCACTGTTAAGAAGAAGAGAGGCAGGCCTAGGAAATATGCCCCTGACGGCTCTGTCACCAAAGTTATCTCCCCTAAGCCGATTTCTTCCTCGGCTCCTCCTCCGGTTATCGACTTCTCGGCTGCTCAGAAACGCGGAAAAATACATCCGGTCGGCTCGACCAAGAAGTCACAGAACCCTAGAATGGAGTTGGAAGGTAAAGATTGATAATTGATCAATACCATATATGGCTGCTGAAGTATTAATGAATGCACGTGTTTTCTGAAGCTTTTATATCTCTTGATCTGTGTTTGTAGTGTCATTAGTGTTTGGCTTCTGAGACTAAAATGCATGTTTAGTACGGAGGATTTAATAGTTTCTAGTACTTTTCGGTATTAAAGAAGAAAAATAACCTGAAATCTTATTTATCATACGGTCAATTTCTTGTTCTTTAAAGGAATTATAGCAAATGATGTCTGAGTATAGAAGTGGGACCTTTGAATATATTCCTTAACTAAGTTCCTAATGTGAATGACTGACTTGTTCAATTTTGGATGGTGTGGAATTGAGGGAATCTTAAACTTGTAGCCGTTATATAGAACTTTTTCTTCTGTAGAGAATGTTCCTGGTCTCAAAATTGGGGTTTTAATTCATAAAATGAGGTTGTATTTTGTTAAACAGTTTATCTTGGATCACTATTTCCACTTACTCTTGAAATTTTTGCATGCCAAAGCCTATGAAAGTAATTAAAAGTTTGTTGAAGTTTTCTTTCAACTTTACTGTTTCCGGTTTCCGCATTAGCTGATGTGAACTATACGTACTTCTGTTGTTTCAGCTGATACAAATTAATTGATTCTGGCTGTAAAGTTTCACTATATCAAGTTACTAATCTTCAATGTTATTTCGTTGTAGGTGAATTGGTTCCGTGTTCTGTGGGTTCTAATTTTACCCCTCATATAATCACTGCTAATGCTGGAGAGGTAAACTTTTACCAAATTACTTACTGATTTTGCTACTTAGAATAACAAATAATTTATACTCTCTACCCCTCTTTTCCTTTTTAATTCTTATCAAGTTAGTGTTGCTCCTTTTCAATTATCTCAAAGCTTTTGTTGCAAATTATGCTGTAGTGGATAATAAATCAGAGCCATTTCTAAGTTTAGGCATAATCTTAAAAGGATATATATCTAGCCACTTTTTCTGTAAGATTTTAGTTAGACATCACCAATTAAATCGCAAGATCTCATTTTTAATAAACATTTTGTGTGTCTTAAGATACATCATTCATTTCTAAGGCATAGGAATCCCTCTGTGGGATCAGCTTAAGTCGTATATAGTTATTTTGTTCGAGTACCAATTATAGTTTTATTCTGTTTTCCGGTGATGATGTACATAATGTATTATTTTCTATCTAGGGTAACAGCTTGTAATTCAAAATTACGGCATTAATAAGTCTACTTCTGATTGTTTTAGGATGTGACTATGAAGGTTATATCATTCTCTCAGCAAGGGCCTCGGGCAATATGTGTTCTCTCTGCTAATGGAGTGATTTCAAGTGTAACTCTTCGTCAACCTGATTCCTCTGGTGGTACATTGACATATGAGGTGATTTAATTGTTTGTTTGGTTTGATTCTCCTTGACAATTCTTTTAGTTCGGCTGACATGTACATTCTGAATTTTTAAAATCATTTTTTTTTTTTTTTTTTTTTTTTTTTTTTTTTTTTTAATTGTACTCTTATTTTTTTAAATCTGAGAATTATTTTTTTCTATCTATATAAAACAAGCTCCATATCATCGCTTGATTTAATGCATTTCTACTTTTGTCTCGTGTAATAGAAGGCCTATTACCACGTCTCGTGTTGTAATTTGATTGCGGAATAAAAAAATTCTCTTGCCTTTTTAAATAATAAATTTTAGACTTAACAATTCATAAATTTGATTTTTATGTTTTATGGTCTTGATTCTAAAAATAATTACTTTTTTGTAATATATCAAAAAACCTCCTTAATATCATTTGATTTTAATACATTTCTGTTTTTACCTTTTCTAAGTGGAGAACTATTGCAATTTGCAAAATCTCATATTTAATTTATTTGCTTGTTGAACAATTTGTTGCCTCTTCGTTAGTTATAAAAGAAGAGAATCTTTTTGTATGTCTAAGTTCTTTCTTTGAGGAAAGATACTTCCTTCTTTGGTCTTTTCCTTTTTTTCTGTCTACAATAAATAAGGTGGTTAATGACATGTCACCTCGCCGTGAATTTATTGTTTCTGACATCTCGATCCTACTATCTTCAAAGTCATTATTTAATAAAGACATTCTAAATATGTAGAATGGGATTAAAATACACGCGCCACTCCTTTATGGTGGATGTAGTTGTCACTTAATAATCTCGACTATGTTATAGTGTTGGAATGTGTGGTTGAAAATGAAATTTGATCTTTTATAAATGTATTATAAATTTTGCCAATCAGATGAATAAATTCTGTTTCTGTGGGAAAAAGAGTACCCCGACTCTTTTGACTTCTGTAAAGTTTTAGTATGACATGAATTTGTAATAAATCTGTGAAGTACAGGTTTGGGTTCTCATATGGTGCTATTAGCTATAGAATTTCTTATATCTATGAAAAACTAAAATCATAATACAAAACTTGGTTGGATTATTATGATGCATGTAGTTTTTATATTACGACAATGAACTAAAGTTCAAAGAAAATTCCGAGTAAGCTCCACTGGACTTGAGATTATGTAAAAGCAATGCAATTTCAGCCAATGTAAGCACGTAAAAAGTATGTAGTTGATACAGTTTCATCTTCTGCAAAACTTGCCTAGCTAGAATATGCCATGGATGCTAGGTTTATCTCAGTGAGTGAGGATAGTCACTTTAATTAATTACTTTTGCTTGGCCAGTTCGGATATTTAGTTTATGTGTCATTCTCTGTATGTCCGTATTTTTTTGTCATCGACCTTGTATTTGACGTCATACTGTTTTTGTTATTTAGGGTCGTTTTGATATACTGTCATTGACTGGATTGTTTATGCCATCCGAGACTGGAGGAATCAGGAACAGATCTGGCGGTATGAGTGTTTCATTAGCAAGCCCAGATGGGCGTGTTGTAGGGGGTGGAGTTGCTGGTTTATTAGTTGCTGCCAGTCCTGTGCAGGTAACGCAGCTCTTTTATTAACATACATAGTTACACAAACAGAGAGATGTAAGATCTTCATTGTCGCGGCAAGTGGATTTAAACCACTATAAATTTGTGGGTTTGCGTTGCTTTCTATTTTGTTCGAATTGCTAAGGTAGTAATATTGAAAAGTTTGCACTAATCTTGTGTTTTTGTATGAACTAGATTGTGGTTGGCAGTTTTCTGGCGGGGAACCAGCACGAGCAGAAGACCAAGAAACACAAAGCAGTGTCAACAACTGTTACACCTGCTGCTATTCCTATCTCCACTACAGGAGTAGATGATCCATATCGAACTTCCCCTTCTTTCCATGAAGATAACTGGTCAATGCATCCCAACTCGATGAATCAGCCCGCTGAAATCAATGTAGCTGTCCCTGGCGAGTAGCCTAATAGACAGCATTGATTATACAAACAGTTTTTACTGACCTCGGTTTGCATCAGACTCCTATTTATGGTTATCCCAGTTTAATGATCTTACTACATATCTTGTTTGTCTGTAAACATATTACCGGGTGCTGATATAGGTCGGGTTTGTGTAGTGACGTAGCTATTTAAAAGCGTGGTAGTTCAGCCTTTTTTTCTAGCTGCTGTTTAGTTGTAGAATTTTTGGATGTGTAATTTACAAATATCCAAGTTTATGCAGTGTGATTCCTGTTCTATTTATAGCTTTTCCCTCAAGTTCCACTTTGAGAAAAATAGGCCACCAGCCACAGATAAACTGTCGCTGATGCAAAACCATTGGGCTGCCTCTCTTGTTGATAATTGTAAAGCTATTTATAGGCAAATACATGCAGATGCCAGCCAGGATAAAAGATCTCTCTTTGATTCTCCCCATATTTTGTCTTGATCCTGTTTTTCTATTTTCTGTCCATAATTTTCCTTGCAGTAATATTTAACTTCAAAGGTTAAATTCGTGAGTGAAGTGAAAGGCTGAATTAATGTGATTCCTGCAATGGGCGGGAACCTTGAAATCGTTAAGGTTGTGCAGTGCTAAAAGTTCGCTAAAGAAAAACTCTAAGCTCGTGACATGTCGTATCAGAGCAGGCTTGCTTGAATGTTCATTATTGGTTGCGGAGAGATTAACGGCATGCGTTCATATGGAAATAGTTTTCTCTTCAACAACTGTGACCTCCCGGACCCTGCTTTTTCCTTGCTTCTTCGATTTACTCTGTGATGATAACATGTTGGATGTTATGCTCGACATTTAAGTTTTTTGGAGCCCAATGATGCAGTCCAAATAGAGTAGCCCTTTTAACTGAATGTGACCCGGTTTGTCCTCACTGTGCAGTCTCGTGTTTCTCTTCCAAATGCGACTTTAGTTTTTTTTAATTGGATGGATCAGATGATGCCAGGTGGAGTCGGCTGAACCATTGAATGCAAATGATTTTTCATTTACCTAGCTCTAGACTATTCACTTACTTGATTATTTGAGACTTCTAGAGTTCTTCGTCGGTCTTGTTCTCTGTTCGTGCCTTCTCTGAAAACTCTTGGTTTTCGTCTGTAATCTCTTGGTTTTTAGGTGTTCTTGGTGAGATCTAGTATAAATTACAATATTCTTGTGATGATTCTACTTACTGATTGAGCATTTGGTGTTGATTACTTTGGTGTAATCTATGTGAGTGAGAATCTGTATTTTTCAAAGTCTGAGGGCTAGATCTTTTAAGATCTATTGTGTTGTAATCCTTAAACACTTGATATTTTGTTGGTTCTAGTTGATTGGAGCGATAACCACTTAAAGTGGATGCTCAACGTGGTGATTAGCCCTTTGTGGGTGAACATCTGGGTCTAAGGGCGAAAAATCTTCAGTGTTCTTACAATTTCTTTTATTATTTTGTTTACTACTGGGACTGAAAATACCTACAGTGATATCAAAGCGCCTCGATCTATTCATAAAATCTTCGATCTTGCCTTTTGTGGTGTTCTTGATGATCAGAACTTTCGATCTTTATGGATCCATATTTTTGTTAAAGGAGTTCGTGGCCACTGCCTTGGTGGAAAAGTAAAATAGTCTTGGTATTCACTATTTTACACTATTGGCCTGAGACGAGTTTGGTAACTAGTTTTTTAACCCTAAACCTAATTTTTCGATTCTTCATATAACTCTATTTTTCTTGGTTGAGGCCCACCTGGATCTACCTTTGTCTAGTGTTTGATATGAGAACCCTAGAATTTGAGGGGACTGGGTTTAACGACCTCTTCAAGATTAGATGTGAAATTTGTTTGCTGGAAATAACTGTTTATGGTTTATTGGTTATCTGATTTACCCGCTCACTGTGTTGTATATTCTGTGCATTTGTGTGAGAATTATCTGCATATTGATACTTTGTGTATATATTTGTCTATATAAATTTCTTTTCTCACACTGCATATCTCAACCTGCTTTGGCCAAAAGTTTGTTAATTTTTTTTTTAAAATAATGGCAAGCACTAAGATTGATATTGAAATCTGGAATGACAAAGGAGACTTTAGTCTCTGGAGTCAAAAATTGAAGGTTCTTTTAATGCAACAAAGGTGTGTGAAAGCTATAGATGAATCATGAGGTCCTGAAATTATTGAAAATAGGAGGACTGATCAAGATGAAATTGCTTGGAGTACAATTTTCTTGCATTTATCTGATAGTGTGATTAGAGAGGTAGGAAAAGCTAAAACTGCAGCTAAAATTTGGACAAAACTTGAATCTCTCTATTAAACCAAAACTCTACCAAATAAATGTTACTTGTGGAAACAATTTTTCAACTTTAAATTTGACCCTAATAGTGATCTTGAAATGAATCTGGATAGCTTTAATAAACTATCACAAGATATCACTAACTGTGATGAAACTCTTTCTGATGAACAAAAATCTGTGGCCTTACTGTCATCTTTGCCTGATAAATACAAAGAAGTGAAACATGCCCTTGAATATGGTAGAACATCTGTAACTGTTGTTAATATCACTACTTCCTTGAGGAATAAGGAATTAGAATTCAAAAGTGAATCTAAAACCTTCAGAACTGGAGTAGGTTACAATGTTAGAGGAAATTTTTCTTTCAAGAAAAATAATTTTAATCAAAATGTGAACAAAAATTTTGGAAAATCAAAGATTTTACTGGAACCTTTCAAAAGGGGAAATCAAAATTTAATAAATACAACAGTAAGGCCAAAGGTAGAAAATGTTATTTTTGTGGAAAAATTGGTCATTATATTAAGAACTGTATAAAAAGAATTGAAAAAATAAAAATCACTAATAAGGTTGAAGATGGAGCTGCTATAGCTTATAAAGAAGCTGCAGCCTCAAATGGACAAGTCTATGTGACATGTCAATTCCCAATTAAAGATGACTGGATTCTTGATTTTGAATGTACATTCCATCTGTTACCTCATAAAGAATATTTTACTGATCTTTGTCAAATTAATTGGGGACTGTAATAATGGGAAATGATTTTTCTTGCAAAATTAAAGGCATTGGTAATATTGTATTAAAACTTGAAAATGGAAATGTGCTGATTTTAAATAAAGCTAGATATATTCCAAAATTAAAGAGAAATTTAATCTCTTTAGGAACTCTTGATGATGAAGGTTTTAATACGATCATAACCAAAGGAATTCTATCATTCCAAAAGAATTTTGTAAAAGTTATTCAAGTAGAAAAATCAAATGGCATATATGTTTTAAAGGCTGTACATCTAAAGAATCAAAACATTGCTGCAAATGTAACTTTGTCTGATAAATCCGAAGTTTGGCTTAAAAGCTTGGGCCACATAAGTGATAAGAGCCTACATGTTTCTAAGAAATAAGGTGTTTTAGGAAAAGATAAAATAGAAAAAATGTCTTTTTGTAAACACTGCATTTATGGGAAGCAAAAGAAACTTCCATTTGCTGCTGGTACCCATAAATCTAAATCTACTCTTGATTACTTGCGTGCAAATTTATAGGGACTAGCTGCTGTGTCCACCTATTCTGATTTTAAATATTACCTATTGATAGTTGATGATTTTTGAAGGAAAAACTGGATCATACTTTTGAAAAATAAATTTGATACTTGTCAAAGCTTCATCGCTTGAAAAATTCTTGTTGAAAATCAAATAAATAAAAGTGTTAAAGCTCTTAGGATTGATAATGGACTTGAATTCTGTAATGAAGAATTTGACAATTTTTGTAAGGAAAATGGAATCTTAAGACATAGGACTGTAACCTATACGCCTCAACAGAACGGTTTAGCAGAAAGAATGAATAGGACTCTATTAGAAAGAGTGAGATGTATGTTAATAAGTTCGGGCCTTCCAAAATTGTTCCGGGGGGAAGCTGTGAAAACCCCCTCTTTTCTAATAAATAAATGTCCTACAAAATCACTAGATTATGATACACCTAACCATGTTTGGAATGGTTACCCTGTTGACTACTCCAAACTTAGGATCTTTGGATGTGCAGCTTATGTACATCAAAGTGAAGAAAAATTAGAACCTAGATCTTAAAAGGTATATTTTTGGGATATGGAGAAAGTGTTAAAGGTTACAGAATTTGGCTAAAAGATCAAGGAGGTTATAGAGTAGTAATTAGTAGGAATGCCATCTTTAATGAGATGAATTTTCCTTGTATTAAAGGAAAAGATACTACAGTCATTGAAATTGATAAAAATAGACATTTCTTGCAATTTGAAGTAACAACTAGGGACCCAAACCTTGAAAATGAATATCAACTTGAGGTGGAGGAACCTCAGGAACAGGATACTGAACCTGTTCCTGAACCTGAACAACAAAATAATCCCTTAGAAGATTACCATCTTGCTAGGGATAGAGAAAAATCACAGTTGCAAAAATTGGTTGCCTTGTCATCAACAGAGGCAGAATATATTGCAGCTACAGATGCTGTAGAGGAAGGAATCTGGGTGAAAAGTTTGTTAAATGAAATTGGTTTTTCTGATAACAATGCTACTATATTTTTTGACAGTCAATCAGCTATACATCTTAGTAGAAATCCAATCTTTCATGATAGAATTAAACATATAGACGTGAAATTTCATTTCATAAGGGATATCATAAAAAAAAGAAATCATAAAAATTGATAAGATTTCAACTAAGTGTAATCCAGCTGATATGGGAACAAAGATACTTCATTTACATAAGTTTAGGGATTGCTTAAATTTCCTAAATATTATTACTAATTAAAGTTTTTTTTTTTTTTGGCAGGAAATAAGAGCAAATGAAACCTAAAGAAAGAGTTATTCTCTAATCCACATGAAACCCAAAGTGTCAAGCAAGGTGGAGAATGTTGGATATTATACTCGACATTTAAGTTTTTTGGAGCCCAATGATGTAGCCCAAATAGAGTGGCTCTTTTAACTGAATGTCACCCGGTTTGCCCCCACTGTGCAGTCTCGTGTTTCTTTTCCAAATGCGACTTTAGTTTTTTTAATTGGATGGATCAGATGATGCCAGGTGGAGTCGGTTGAACCGTTGAATGCAAATGATTTTTCATTTACCCAGCCCTAGAATTTTCACTTACCTGATTATTCGAGAGACTTCTAGGGTTCTTCGTCGGCCTTGTTCTCTGTTCGTCCCTTCTCTGAAAACTCTTGGTTTCTAGGTGTTCTTGGTGAGATCTAGTATAGATTACAGTATTCTTGTGATGATTCTACTTACTGATTGAGCGTTTGGTGTTGATTACTTTGGTGTAATCTGTGTGAGTGAGAATCTGTATTTTTCAGAGTCTGAGGGCTAGATCTTTTAAGATCTATTGTGTTGTAATCTTTAAACACTTGATATTTTGTTGGTTCTAGTGGATTGGAGCGATAACCACTTAAAGTGGATACTCAACGTGGTGATTAGCCCTTTGTGGGTGAACATTCGGGTCTAAGGGCGAAAAATCTTCAATGTTCTTGCAATTTCTTTTATTATTTTGTTTACTACTGGGACTGAAAATACCTACATAACATCACGCCCCCCTCTCCTCAATCTCAACTTCAGCAACATGTGAATCTGCCATTTGAAACAACCTTTCATCGTGGAGCTGAAATGGGGCTCTGATACCACATGTAACATACTGCGATGATGCAGTCGAAGTCTCACTACTCCTAACCATTGTTACTGTTAACCAACTCAAAACAAATTTTATTTACAATGGTTGATCAAAAGTAGTGCAGAATGGTCTGGATAGGAGGATATTAGTTCTCGTCCAATGAAATTTTAGAGTAAGAAATACATGAAATAAAAAAATTTCATAGGAAATGGAGACTAATTGTCTGCTGCCTTTGCTTTGTCAGAAGAAGATGCAGTTACAGCAGATTTTAGACATAAAAAGAAATTTCTTGAACCCAAGTTCATCAACTTCTCATATGGCTTCAAGCCTGCAATTCAAATAAATACAAGAATGAACGATTCATGAAATAATATCAAAAATCAAGAATATTAAATGTTAATAGTTATAATTTCAAATAATCAAGAACATGTCACCAGTACTATGGTTTACTTTCATAACTTCAATATTCTCGCTCAAACTCAATATGGTATTAGAAATTCAATGCATTTACTTAGTGTTAACTATAATTTTTGCAGTTACTCTTTATATTAACCAAATTTTGTTTTGTATGAGTAACTTTGACAGAACCTAAAAAGCATATATGGGAAATAAGCAAGGTTTGAGAACTCACTCTGAAGACTAAACTGGGAATAATGAAGCTCGAAACACCTGGGATCAGTATCATCCAACAATGGCCGCCGCTTCTCCTTCCCGTAAATCTCTATCGCCGCCTTTATCAAGTCGCCAACGGTATTTTCCGGCGATATCACCACCTTCACAGGACCCAAACTCTTCTCAATATTCACATTCATCAACAGCTTTGTCAATTGCCTTTGCTTCTCATACTCATCCACGAATCCACCGCGCTTTCCAACCACCTCTTTCGGCCGCCCAGCTCCCTCCACCACTTCTTGTCGACGTTTAGACGAAGAAAAACTCATTTTAAGAAAGAGACTTATAGAGAGAAAAATATTGTATAATTGTTACGAGACCTCTAGTATCTTTGAAGACAACATTTAAATAAATATCCCACTCTACGAAGCAAGTAAATACACTGGTTCTTCTCCAATAATGTAAACGTCATTCCTTTAGTAGCTTTCGTTTTGCGTTTTAAATGAGGTGGTTTGCTATGGTAAAATTTTCCAGTATATGTAAGCGCTTGTTTCAGGGGAACGAGGTGTAGACAACATTAATGATTTTTGGCAGATATATTTGCATGATGAAAGACCGTAAAAAATGACATAGAAAAGGAAGTTTCGAGGAAATTGATGAATTTTTGTCCGGATGGGATTACTCTGTTTGCCCACTTGTTGGGTAGCTAAATGTAGTTGGCGAAACTGTTGTGGCTGATATAACATGTTTTTGGATTCCTAGAAAAAAAAAACTTTCGATCTTTTTAAGAGGTGATGGTGTCCACCCCTCACATGGAGCGGTCGTGACTGATATAACATGTTTTTGGATTCCTAGAAAAAAACTATTGATCTTTTTAAGGGGTGAGCATTCCCCCTTTTTAAGAGCTTCACCTCGATAACTTTACGATCGAGGGAATTATTCACGGGCACCATACAAGTGTTAAGTTGGCAGCACCTGTATGGTGTATTTCTTTTTGTTTTGGCGAAAATCAATAAAAAATTGACAAGTGCCCCGTACATAAAAAAAAATAAAAAATAAAAACTCATTTTAATTGATGTGAGACAGGAATTTATTTACTTTAGAAAATAATCGAACATGCGTTGAAGAATTGGTTGGCCATAAAGAATTAGTATGACCTACCCATCTAAACTATGTGTAGAACCATGCTAGACATAATGTACGGGTGTGTGACCACCTAGTATGGTGCATTCATTAAATGTCATGTTGGTACATCTATAAAGGAATTAAATGACGATCTAAGTTAAACTATTGCATCAAGAAACTTAAGTAGTTCAAGAAGGAACTTATTTATATATTTAAATTTTATTTTTAATAAGCTCTTTATTTGCAAATCATAACTCAAGTCTTTTACTTAATTAGATATCATATTAGATCAGATCACGTTATCTAAAAATTTAAATTGTGTGGATCGCATTGCTGCACATCACATTATTTTTAAGAATTCAACGTGATCGACGAAAAAGCGTAACTAAAAATCGATATTGGTGACCACTGCATGTGTGACATTGCTACATCCATATAATATTAATCAAGAATAGACTAGATAGTTGGCCCCCTTAGTCTCTAGTGCACCATTTGTGGAGGATCAAACTCCAAAAGTGACTGGTCTTAAGTCTTAACTAGTGGAGGGTTTAACTAAAAAGAAAAGGGCGGCTTTCGGTGGGTACAATGAAAACTGGCTAATCATATATACGGCTTTGGAGCATGAATAGGAGTGGCTGGCCAGGCCTACTCGGCACTATTCTACTGTGGACGAGCTCGACTAAATTTATTGTAGAATTAATTGATCTAAAGTTTAAGCGATTAGTTATATTTATATTTTCAAATACTATATTCAACATGTTCCTTCACAAGATTCTTTTTCATCAAAATCTAACATGTATTTAATTCATTGAATGAGTGTTGATGAAGCGTGAAGGACTTCCATACTCTGATACCATATTAATATAAAAGCTTAAGTCGTCTTCAACATATGTCCCCTACTCGTGTAGGTGCAATTTATTTTGATTAAATACATTCACACTTTTTTGGAGCATCTCCAAATGACTTTTCAAACATAAAATGCTCTCCATTTTAAATAGTCAATCACTAAAATTATGTTTCAAGAGACTATTCAAATTAACATTTTAATTTAGAGAGTGAAATCTCACTCTCTATAATTAAATGTATTCAAAACATTTTAATTTTCAATGGAGGAAAATAATATAATAATTTGGAGGAAAGCTAGAAAAAATAAAAGATGGAAAAAAATAATAAATATATTTTTTTAGAATAGTAAAATCAAGTGTAAAATATAAATAGCCTATTGAAGTACTTAAAAAAAAAAAATTACTCTAGATATTCTCGAAATTGTAGAATATGTTCTTAAGTTTATCACATTTTAATTGTATAAAAGGTTCATAGTTTTTTATTTGTTGTCACACTGATGTCTCCAACTTTTTGAATCAAATACTTATCATCGATCTTCAATTGTTCTTGATGATTTTTTGTCTCAAAATTTCGTTAAAAGTGAGTAAAAAAAAAAAACTATTTGTGCCCCATAATTTTAAATAAAAAATACAAATTTATTACAAAATATTTGTTTTAAAGCACGCTAACAAAAATTAGGGATGAACGCGGTTTAATTTGGACAATTTGTGCTATATTTTTAACTCAAACCATTTTATGAGATTTGAAAATTTTCCAAATCAAATCAAACCAAATCATTTTATTTTTCAAACCAAACCAAATCATAATTTGCGGTTTGGTTCGATTTTATTCCTCAATTTACTCATTGACATTATAAAAATATATTTAACATAAGTTAACATATAAGTTTAAATGAACACTAATAATGTTAAATATCAAATTATATTCATATTTACGGATTTACCATGAAACCCATAAACAAATTATTTTCAAAGTTGGTTGCTAAAATATGTTACTAGAATAAATACACATTTCTTCATTTTTATTTATCTTTTCTTGTTTGACATTCATATTGTCATATAGCAGTTGATATAGATAGAGTTATATTTTGTTATTATAATTTGGTTAAAACTCATTTCATCTTACTAATGAAATGTTAAATAAAGATTGAACGAGATATATTTAAATGTACAAAGATTGATAGAGTTTCAACTTATTGGGAATCGACAAATTTTATTTTCTAACTATTTTATGGAAGTAGAAGGTAGCAATACTAGTTTGGAAACTTTAATATTTTCAAACAATCATTATGCTTCATCTTTCGTTCTTTCCAAACCACGAACGAGTTCATTAATCATTTAGGCACATAAAAAGTCATTTTTCTATCCAAACCATAACTCGTGTGTATAATAAGTTCAAAAACAACAAATAACATAACAATGAAAAAATAGTTTGAATGAAAATTTGAGATTTACTGAAAGAGAAGAGAGAAATAGACGATTCATGTAAAAATTAGTAGACTAACAAGCAAAGACGACTGACGACTCGTTCAACAGTAGCAGACAAGCTCAAATCTTGAGGAAATGAAAGTTTATGTTAGGGTTTCTGAAACTTTGGACCTAATTTGCTGACATAGTTTTGTTGAATTATAATTTGGATTGTTGAAAATATATTTTTATTTTTTTCATTTCATATGATTTTGGAATAATTTTAGTTTAGTTTAGATATTGGGTAAAGATATGCGTCGTGAACTTGTTAAACCATAGGGCACTAATGATGAGCCTAATTAACTTTCCATAATTATTTCAATAGGCTAGTTGTAATTTGTATTGCTTGATTGGTATTTTTTCTGAAAAGTGGAAACTGTAAAAATTTTAAGTTAATGAAATTAATGTTTTAATTAAAAAATTAAAAAAATGTTTCGATTCGATTTTATACGGTTTTTGAAAATCAAAACCTAAACCAAATCATTTTAAAGCGGTTTGAGGAAAAAAACCATGGGTCCACGTGTTCCTGAACCAACGGTTTCAACTCAAAAAATTTTCAATTCAGTTTGCAATTTTACGATTTTTTTTTGTGTAGCCCTAACAAAAATTTAGATGAAAATAATCATTAAGAATAATATTGTAATTAATAAAAGGTTAAAGGATATCAACGCGATGAAAAAGAGTTATGTACATAAATGTAATAATGAATAAAGTTTAGGAACATTTAATGCAATTAAAATACGTGCATTTACTAAAAAAATATGGTGTAAATATAACCGTTCTTTATTTTTCCTATCAAGGTTCATCACATGGACAATTTATTTAAACGAAAGGCACCCTAGAATTGTAACCAAGATCTTGCTTGCTAAGATATCATAATGAATCAGGTGATTTAAAAGCTTAAATTGTTAGATAAAGTTGCATATGTATCATTTAAATATTATTTTTCAATGTTTATAATTGTTAACAAGCAACTTTAAAAATTTAGTCAAACGTGTCCTACAAATAACATGATTTTTTTAATCTTGTATTATTGCTGGTAAAAGTAATATTTTATAGAAAGATTTTCAAAATAGTCGTTATATTTTTTAATTATTATGTATTCTTTGATTTTATACCTATTTCACTATTTGAAACCTTACAAAATAAACAGTGGCAAAATTCTCCACTGAACCAGTCCATCATTGGATTCTTTGAACATGTCAAAAATATTATTTTTCTTTTTCTTTTTTATGTTTTTCAAATCAAATTATTTTTTAAATATAAATAACTAATTATATGGGCTAGCAAATAGGGATACTTTAATCCTGCCCCCCTATTCAGTTGGGACGTCGCGCCTTCCAAAAAATTCTAGTGGTAAAATGATGGTGGAATAACGCCTCCTGATCTCTCTGGCGGCCTTTAGGCGTTTCTGTTGCTCTGATGGGGGAGTGTAACCTGAAAAGTGAGGGTGGGGTTTTCTCCCCTATTTTACCTCCGGTGGGAAAATCAGTAGGCGCGTTAGGAGAAAATAATTTTGAGATTCAGAAGGCTAAAAAATGTGCAATCAATCCATACTTGTTGCCCTTAGGAGGTATTTATTGACGTCGGAAGTTGAGCGGGAGTCGAGTGGTTGTGGTGCCACGTATCCCACGTTGGCCTTCCCATTATCTCCACGTTCGGAGTGGGGAGTTTTAATTACCTCAGGGGGTTGTGCTTGTGGTGACCGCCGTGTAGCCTTAGTAATTGATCAGAGGTTTTGAGGCTAAGTGTTGAGATGGTCTTATAAGTAATCTCATGCTTGTCGTTGGTCTTGCATAGAGGTAGAGCGCTCCTAGGGGGGTCCACGGTCTTTTGTAGAGGTAGAGCTCCCCGGGGAAGGGGGGTCGACGATCTCTTATTGGCGTGTCACGATTTACATTGCGTATCCTTGGAAGTGGTTTCCTATGTCAACTGATATCATGAGCCCCCCACTCCCT